GAACCCCTATGTGCTTATAGTGTACGTGCCCAGTGGGTACAACCACCTCGGTATACGTTGATTACACATCATATCCTTCCATGTAAATACCATCTTACAAGTTGTTGGGAACCGTGTCTCTAAATTATAAAACCTCCAACCTAGTTTAGCAAATAATTGCTTCAACTGACAAGCCCCGTAACAAATGACGACCAAGCTCTTAAGTAAATTATATGAGTGGCATGCACGCGCAAGCTTCCTTTGATAGAGGAGCAAATTAAGCGAGCCAGTGTCACTGTAATTTGCAGAGCTCCGTACTGAAATTAGTGACTTAAAAGTGGGTACATCATAATAATACTAAAGAAGAGAACCTACTAATGACGTCAACAGGTGCGTATTTGTTCTGCCTTGCGTCAGTTCCTGATTGGGTCCTGAATTTACTACTCCGGTATTGTGGTCTTGTTTAGGTACGAAATGAAGGCTTATATGTCTGGTCACTGGTGTTGTAATAAATAATTCATGTGTTCATTTGTCCACGATGGCTATGGTATGTTGTTGGTATGTCCACGTCGCTGTTGCCCACGTGTTGGTGGTCGCACCATGATACCTTTAAGTGTACAGTATATCAAAATAAAGATAACAATGTCCCACAGTTTCTATAAGGATAAAACAAGCAGATTTCAAATATTTTCATTTCAGTGTGGACGGGAATGTTTGTCGGAATCATTCAAACAATATTGTGTGGCTTTATGATAAGTAAGACAACATATTATTTTATTTCGCGCTAATGATATATTCTGGTACTTTCTCGCTCCCTCTCTTGAGTAGAGTGAGTGAGTATTGTTTTACGCCGCCTTTAGCAATATTCCAGCAACACACGGCGATTGACACCAGAAATGGGCTCCATACACTGCACCAACGTAGGGAATCGAATCCGGGTCTTCGGCGTTACGAGCGAAAGCTTTAACTACTAGGCTATCCTACCGCCCCTGCTTATTAGAAACCTATTGCAATGGGTATTGAGGTGTGAATTATTTGTGAGAATCATGTGGCGTGTTCGGGTTTGAATCCTGATAACTGGAAATACCTTTCAGACTATAACTACGACCCCAGAATTTTATATAAAAATAAAACTATAAGAGAACTAATTACTGTAATTTACAGTTTTGAAATAAAAATTCCTGGGGTGTTGTATTACGTAATTTCTTGGATTTATGTTCGAACGTTTTTGTTAAGACGATATATTTAATTTGGGTGAAGTACAAATGCACTGTACGTTTCTAGGTTTTGAAATGTGATTTGGTCTAACTACACAGTTTACAGTCGGAGCATGTACCGCCGCCTTGATGAACACTGTCACTTGCACAAGAACACACATTTCACGCTGGAGCGTACGGTCTGAGCATTGTGTAATAGCTTCACTCCTCTAACCGACACAATACTCCTAAAGCGGAATGTCTGTATCGCTTGTGTCGGGACACATGTTAGATAACACAATTTCCCTGCGCCGATCTGTATTTAGCTCTATTTGTCACAGTTATCATGGCATGCAACATGTAATCTCCTGGGGAGGCCTGTCCATGAAAGATGTTGTCTAGGTAAACTTTATACTGGTATTCGGGACAATCTGTAACTTCCTGATTGGTCGACTGCCACGGGTTCTGGTGGTGGAGGTTGTTCTTCATGTTGAACAGCATGGAACAGCCAGAGCTTGATAACCAAATCAACATGGATGTGAAAGTGCTTTCGAATCATGCATAAGTTCCGATAGTAAACAGTGCTGAGGAGGGAATTTCACGACAGAAACGCAAGTTGTTGGTGAAGTTTCCCAACTATTTATATAGTTCCAAATAGATGGGATTTGTTTTTGTGTCTTTACTTGGAGCGAACTGTTCCACAACTGTCTCGTAACCATGCATTATCGATCTCAGCTGTTTGTCGCCATGTTGTGTTATCACAGTCACCTATCCACTCTGTTGTGTTATCACAGTCACCTGTCGGCCTTGTTGTGTTATCACAGTCACATGTCGGCCCTGTTGTATTATCACAGTCACCTATCCACCCTGTTGTGTTATCACAGTCACCTGTCGGCCCTGTTGTGTTATCATAGTCACATTGTGTTATCACACCATGTCGGCCCTGTTGTGTTATCACAGTCACCTATCCACCCTGTTGTGTTATCACAGTCACCTGTCCGCCCTGTTGTGTTATCACAGTCACATATCCATCCTGTTGTGTTATCACAGTCACCTATCCACCCTGTTGTGTTATCACAGTCACCTATCCACCCTGTTGTGTTATCACAGTCACCTGTCCATCCCGTGTGTTATCACAGTCCCCTGTCCACCCTGTTGTGTTATCACAGTCACCTGTCCGCCCTGTTGTGTGTTGTGTTATCACAGTCACCTGTCCGCCCTGTTGTGTTATCACAGTCACCTATCCACCCTGTTGTGTTATCACAGTCACCTATCCACCCTGTTGTGTTATCACAGTCACCTATCCACCCTGTTGTGTTATCACAGTCACCTGTCCATCCTGTTGTGTTATCACAGTCACCTGTGTTGTGTTATCACAGTCACCTATCCACCCTGTTGTGTTATCACAGTCACCTATCCATCCTGTTGTGTTATCACAGTCACCTATCCACCCTGTTGTGTTATCACAGTCACCTATCCACCCTGTTGTGTTATCACAGTCACCTATCCACCCTGTTGTGTTATCACAGTCACCTATCCATCCACCCTGTTGTGTTATCACAGTCACCTGTTGTGTTATCACAGTCACCTATCCACCCTGTTGTGTTATCACAGTCACATGTCCACCCTGTTGTGTTATCACAGTCCCCTGTCCATCCTGTTGTGTTATCACAGTCACCTACCTATCCAGTCACCTATCCCTGTTGTGTTATCACAGTCACCTATCCACCCTGTTGTGTTATCACAGTCACCTATCCACCCTGTTGTGTTATCACAGTCACCTATCCACCCTGTTGTGTTATCACAGTCACCTATCCATCCTGTGTGTTATCACAGTCACCTATCCACCCTGTTGTGTTATCACAGTCACCTATCCACCCTGTTGTGTTATCACAGTCACCTGTCCATCCTGTTGTGTTATCACAGTCACCTATCCACCCTGTTGTGTTATCACAGTCACCTATCCACCCTGTTGTGTTATCACAGTCACCTATCCACCCTGTTGTGTTATCACAGTCACCTATCCACCCTGTCACCTATCCACCCTGTTGTGTTATCACAGTCACCTATCCACCCTGTTGTTGTGTTATCACAGTCACCTGTCCATCCTGTGTGTTATCACATTCACCTATCCACCCTGTTGTGTTATCACATTCACCTATCCACCCTGTTGTGTTATCACAGTCACCTGTCCATCCTGTGTGTTATCACAGTCACCTGTCCATCCTGTTGTGTTATCGCACACTCAGATACGCCATATAGGTTGTCACAGTCGTTTACCACCATCGTTTGGTTATTAAATCCGTCTGTTTGCCCCCAGGCTTATAACATCCCCGGCTAACTAAGATGGCTTTCCTCCGCAATATTTATTTATTTCGGGTCATGTGTGTCGGGTGCGGATTTCTCCAGAAAATGAAGTCTTGATGCCATCTCACCTTCGAGGGTCCCAAGGGGAGGTCTTGCAAGTATAGTAGTGAATGAATATTAAAGCCTCTCCAAACAATTTGCTGCCACCGGCTCGTAGCTCATAGGGCGGCCTTCTCTTGCAGTTAATATGTCGCTGTGTGGCTTATTGCTTGTTTTTCCTTGGAGATATACGATAAAGTTATTGTGTCTGAAGTTATGGCTTTGCTCTACAGATGATACCTCAACACTAATTAAAGTTGGTCACCTATACCTCGGGTCGTAGGGCCGTTTGTTTAAGATAATCAAGATGCACCAGATTTGGTGTCCTTGTGCTGACCTGTTTACGAAGACTGGTAATGGTATTAGGGATGCCCTTGCTTTCTCTTTTACAGAAATTCCACGGTCCATGCAGACTATTTCGAGATAAGCTGTATTATTCTGAGAGCAAAATAACTTCGATGAAGACTTGAACATCGTAAACGATAAATAGGGAACGGGATGTCACTCTCATTACGCTGAGGAAGGCATGCCGGAATGTGGGCTGATTGTCGTCTCCGTGTCCTTGGTTGAATTTGTTCATTGTCAGATTGTCGGGAAGGTGTTCATTGTCAGATTTGTCGGAATGGTGTTCAGTGGACATCGAATTGACTTGGTGTTCATTGTCAGATTGTGAGGATGATGTTCATTATCTGATTGTCGGGATGGAGTTCACTGTCGGATTGTTTTGGTGGTCATTATGGGATTATCTTGATGGTCATTGTCAGATTGTCGGGATGGTGTTCATTGTCAGATTGTCGGGATGGTGTCCCCCGTCGTGATATTGCTGGAATATTGCTAAAAGCGGCGTAAAACTAAACTCACTCACTCACACTCACAGAATGTCTTGGTGGTCATTGTCAGATTGTCGGGATTGTGTTCATTGTCGGATTGTAGGATTGTGTTCATAGTCGGGTTGTGTGGGAGGTGGTCATTGTCAGATTCTGGGGATGGTGGTCATTTGATGATTGTCCAGGTGGTGTTCATAGTTGGATCGCCTGGGTGGTGTTCATAGTTAGATTGTCAGAGTGGTGTTCATCAATTAATTTGGGGAGCTGTGTCTCAGAGGTGGAAGTCAATGTCCGTGCGTCTTTTCACTGTGTTATCTATATAGAGATGGCGTTAGCGTTGGGTTAGCTTGGTGTTTGCTGTTTCATTCACGATAGGATTGTCGTGCAAAAGTGTGTCCAGCGTATAATATCTGTGACTGTATCTAGAGTTTAATCATCGTGGTGATATTCAAAGTATTTTTATGCGTTCTAATTATTAGAATGGACTTTCTGTTGTGATGTCTACGGTGAGAATGATGTAAGTTGCAAGATATTATTGTGTTTGTATTAATCTATATGTCATGTATTCAGTAGTATTTGATTTCTTTTCCAGGAACATTTTTCTGCTTGAACATGACGCTGATCACGCTGTCGACAGTGCTGTCGTGCATGGTGGCCAATATGTTCTTCAGGGGAGTCAGAATCAATCGAGCTCCACGATGGCTCCGTGTGGTCAGTATCAAGCTTAAGAAGTCTTGTGTAGAATAACACTAACAGTGTAACTGTTTACGGAAGCGGTTGTTACCTTTACTGCTCTCAATGTTACCCGTCATCCTCGTGTGTTTAAATTTCGTAAAATAGTCCCATAGCTTGAATATTTGATAATGTGCTCCGTCAGTATTGGTCTACTGAAACGATGATTCGTAATGTTTATCTGTTATTAATAATCATTTATCTGAAATCACTTAAAATGACATCACTTCCTTTTAATGTCCTGAAACAGACATGTAGGGAAGAGGACCCAACGAAACTGACTAACTTTCAAAGACTAATCCTTGTACAATATGTACGAGATTCAGTGCACCGGTGGAATTTCACACCATGTTAATTTGACATGCCGACATCCTTTAGTATATAAACCGGGTTACCACCGGCGACTCTTGCAGAATTATAGAATGGGGTTCGTTACAAGTATGAGGAAATCTTGCAAGCGGCGCTAGAAAATGGTAATTTATGTCTGCTACGCGCTCAGTGTCTTGTATTGAGCAAATCAAAGAAGGATTACAGAACAGACAACACCATCGGGCATACATACAGATTCCACGGAGAATGTACTCTGGTAGATGGACGCAGATGTCACAGATACACACATAAACTTTCATAGTCGAATCAGTTATAATCTGCCTTACGTGGTTATACAGTGTATGGTCTGTTTGCCATTTAACAAACATTCTTCTAGATTATATAGATTTGAAGGAGCTATGCTTTATTTGGAAATAGTTATTTTTAGTTTCATTTTAGCTTTTGGGATGATGTTCAAAGTGTGACTGCAGAATGCCTGTCGTTGTCTGTCTGTGTCTATAACGTTAGTTTTCTTTACCGATGCTGTTGACGACATGAATTTGAGCATGTGTCGTCTCACCAAAACAAATATGGAATCTGAAAACGGACGTAGTCGTATTGTCGCCCTGCGGTCATTGCAAAAACAGAATAATGCATCCCTAAAGAGCGATCTTGAACGAATGTGACACTTGTCCGTTGTAGCATTGTTGCCTCAGCTTGTCGCATTGTTGCGCCTCCATTATTGGTTTTAATGTCAACTACACTGCAGCTTTGGTATGTTGTTGCAACACGTAGGGGCTCAGACCTGCTGACGTTGTGGATAAAGGAAGCACACGTTTAGAAAAACCTCTTAAATGATAAAAATTTAAATGATATTGCAGAAATCAAGTTTAACGTTTATATGTATGAATTCGCTCATAAGTATTTAAAACAAATAAATCTGACATTAGTTTGCCCATAATGTATCTTAAATCTCAAAAACTGGTGTAACAATTGTGGGGACCAACCTGGATGTTTGCCCTCCTAGCCTTGTTCTTTGCTGTTCGGAAACTAATACATTTAACAGCTGTTTTCACACACCAAACGGACATTCATACTTAAACCCCTTTAATTTAGGTGATTGCACATGACTCTCAGCTGAATCAGAAAGTGCATGGTGACCGAAAGGATCTTTTGGCTCAGTATTCACAAATGAGGAATGTGAATAACTGTGATTTTTTCTATTCTTGTAAATACTAAAGAGTTTAGTTTGGAAATGAACAAAGTCTGTCAGGACATATGTTTCATCATATATTAATTATTATTACAGACACATTTCGTAAATGCGGGTCCTTATGATGGCTTATCCTTTTCTGATTAACGACTTCTGGTCGCCCCCAAAGATAACGCCATGCCTCCGAATGTCATATATGTGATGCTAAATTCATAGATTGATATGATGTTAAGAACAGAATTTTATTTTGCGTCTGCTAAAACAATTGACATAGCGTGTAAATGCCGAAGTTTCAGGCTCGAGCTTGTGCTGAGCTTTCTCGGGTGCAGATCTTGGCGCAAGTAGCAAATATTCCAGCTTGCAACAGATTGCCTTAGCTTGAAAAATTCGAAATAATTCATGAGTTGTTTTTATTTGCTCAAACGATCACTGGTTTGTCTGGTCCAAACGTAATCATCTACTCTCAATGCCTCGTATTAGTATCATGTATCCTTAGAGGTAAAAATGCATCCAAACGAAACACATTCATCGACACGTACATGTTCACCTGTTCATCGGGCATTTGGGTAGCCCAGTGGTTATAGCGCTCGTTCGTCACGCCGGGGATTTTGGTTTGATTTCCTACATGGTTACAATGCGTGAAGCCCACTCCAGGTGACTGCCGTCCAGATATTGCTAAGATTGTGTTAGAAAAGTAGCACAGGACAGAGGGACCTGTGAGATTTCCCGATATAGCGTGGTAAGTTTAAAGTACGTCGATGATAAAAGAGTTTTGAAATAGTTTTCTTTTCTTCCAGTTCATGATCGACGTGGTGGCTAGGGGTTTGTGTCTGCGGAACAAGATTGTCGAACCAGACTACAGTCCATTCACACCCAAAAAATCTTGGAACACGGGCAGAGTTGGAGGCGAAGCGCGGGGCCAGTACCCATATACAGACATCCGCTTTGCGCAGGTGCGTCTCCTTGACAACGGCGTTGAGGGCAGCAAAAACCAGACAGAAAATGGCGGTGATGCGGGCAGCTACCAGTCGGCAGACGACACGGGCAGGGCTGGGATGGCATCAGGGCCTCTCCTGGACGAGATTAAAGCTATTAGAGATATCCTGGAAAAAGTGAGGGACAAGAAAGCCAAAATGGAGGAAAAAGAGAAATATGTTCGCGAGTGGAGAGTTATCGCGTGTGTGACAGACAGAATGATCTTCATATTTTATCTGTCCGTCAATATTGTCGGCTTAGGGGTGATATTCCTCGGTCAGCTGCAGACTCAAGACACCGCTATGATGGAGTGAAGTCAGTCGGTGTCCACTATGTGTCCATCAGATGAACTAACGATATATTGCTGCTAGTAACGAGGGCGCGACTGTGTATATAAGACTAGGGCCACCCTGGGTGGCACGTTGTACATACTGACAAGCCTAGAGGACCAACTCGACGCTGACCTTGAACTTTTGAAGGACAGTTGCAATTCATGACGTAAGAGCTTTAATCAATGATACTGTATATAGAACCGAAGGAAAATAGTGTAGGTGAGGATAGAGCGGAACGGTTTGAAGTTAGGTGACCGTTGTCGTGGTCGGCCGATATTTGGTACAGAATGAACATTCCACTACAGACTGTTGACTGTTTGAGGGATATCTCCTCCCAGAGACATCGAATACTATGAACAACGCTGTGAATCTTTCCACTCTCAAGGCACAGATTGACTGTGCAGGTGTTACTGCTGCCGTCATCCGGGGCTGCAATTTTGGACCCAACGTGTGCACCAGCTTCACGTCGCCACAACCAACCTGCGGCTCACTTGACAAATAATTAGCCACCTAATATCGTCACTCAGCCACAGATAGGTAGCCTGTCAATACTCGTCATTCGCTGTAAAATTGTGGATCGTCATTCACTGTTAACCGGTCATTCCTGACAGATTGTTAGCTATGCAGATGAGTCAATCATCGCAAGCACCTGCCACAGCAGAGTAGAGAGATGCTAATTGTCTCTATCCAGGAAATGCCTTCTGCTGCCTAACTCGGTGTAAATGACATATTTTCCATACCCAGTGGAGCATGTGTCTCCAGGGAAAGATTACGTTAGTATTATGCTAGTGTTTCTCGAGGAAAGATAAGCGTGGTATTAAGCTAGTGATTGTCAAGGGATAGATAAGCGTGGTATTAAGCTAGTGATTGTCAAGGAATAGATAACAACAGTGTTATGTTGACGTGTCCCCGAAAGACGAGAACTGCTAATATTACGTTTGTGTTTCTCTCGAGAAAGATGAGAGTGACAACACATTGTTTATGTTGACAGAAGGCAACAGAAGGCTCACCATCCAGCTGTATATATGTAAGTTGTGTATAGTTTTCAGCATATACACTGGTGTGTTTCAACGCGGATTATATTATGCATTAGCCACACACACAAACACATCTTCCGAAAATATATTTATTACCTGTTCATGCACCTATGGTCAGTATACACAACAAATCACGTGGTTCTCGACTGCCTCATTGACGTAAACGATCTAATACTCACGTGTAGTTCACGCACTAGAGAACATGTAGACGTTATGCATGCACGTGGTCTTTGTTTCCTGTTCGATGTTCTCTGAACGTCCTTCTTGGCCTTCCAAACAATTTAACTTTCAAAGTGTGCGAATCGTATGTAAACACTTTTATTTCCTGTATTTGATTGTCTAGAGACCGGTAGCCATGACATCCCACATACCCTAGCGTATCATTAGTCCCGCAATAAGACAGGTAACCAGTTGTAAACATGTGACATTATACTGTATCATGACATTTGCTCCTGGTTACCTCCAACATGAAGTTACATTATTCATTTCCAAACAATATGTAATTGCAGCATCTTAGAACGTCACCCACTGTACAACATCTTAAAAGTCCAGTTTATCAGTTGCACCGCTCTTTCCTGTATGTTGATGACTTTCTTGGTAGATATTTGAACTTGAACATGTACAAATGATGCTGTGATATACTGTTAAACATTCAACCCACAGTTTTTCGAGGCTTGAGTGCACCATATTTCATGAACGGACATAACTCTATGCAGCGATTTGGACGGCGTATTCCAGCAATGTTTTCCAATTTTACCAAATAGTTTTTAGGACAGAGAGATGGTGTGTTCCCTGCATCTCGAGGCACTACCATATCTGCATCAATTGGAGGGTGACAGGTGCTTGCAGTTGCATCGATCTGTATGCAAGGAAGGGTGACAAGCGTTTGTTGTTGGTCTGTATGCAGGGAAGGGTGACAAGTGTTTGTTGTTGGTCTGTATGCAAGGAAGGGTGGCAAGCGTTTGTTGTTGGTCTGTATGCAGGGAAGGGTGACAAGCGTTTGTTGTTGGTCTGTATGCAGGGAAGGGTGACAAGCGTTTGTTGCCGGTCTGTATGTAGGGAAGGGTGACAAGCGTTTGTTGTTGGTTTGTATGTAGGGAAGGGTGACAAGCGTTTGTTGTTGGTTTGTATGTAGGGAAGGGTGACAAGCGTTTGTTGTTGGTTTGTATGTAGGGAAGGGTGACAAGCGTTTGTTGCCGGTCTGTGTGCAGGGAAGGGTGACAAGCCTTTAGTTGCTGGTCTGTATGTAGGGAAGGGTGACAAGCGTTTGTTGCCGGTCTGTGTGCAGGGAAGGGTGACAAGCGTTTGTTGCTGGTCTGTATGTAGGGAAGGGTGCCAAGCGTTTGTTGCTGGTCTGTGTGCAGGGAAGGGTGACAAGCGTTTGTTGCTGGTTTGTATGTAGAGGATGGTGACAATCGCTTGTTGCCGGTCTGTATGTAAGGAAGGGTGACAAGCGTTTGTTGCTGGTCTGTGTGTAAGGAAAGGTGTCAATCGCTTGTTGCTGGTCTGTATGTAGGGAAGGTTGACAATCGCTTGTTGCTGGTCTGTATGTAGGGAAGGTTGGCAATCGCTTGTTGCTGGTCTGTATGTAGGGAAGGTTGAAGAGGTTGCTCGTCCAGCAGTTTCTGACAATCCATCTAACTACAGTTAGAAGAACAAGTGGGGAAAGATTTATGTGGCAATGGCCCATGTTTTCTCCATCAGAGTTAAGACATTATGGATATACTGGACATTTAATTGTCCCCGTTTTTCAGCAGACCTGACACGAATTTGTACATACATATGACCTATTGTGGACTTCAGTAGATGTGACTGTTATTGTTCAGTTATCTGTATTCACACAGGAGGTGATTCCGTTTCTAACAATGGCATAATCTATATATATGATTATATATCATAACTATGTTATCGCAACTTTGATTAAACGCTTTTTTAGAACGATTCACATTAGCCAGGCAGACACTGTTATATTTGTGAACAAAACACATTTAATTTTTTGCCAACAAAACTCTTGTCCTTATTGCGTTTGACCCTACATTATTTCACCTTAGCCCAACCTTTTTCTAGATAGTGAGCACTAACGGTTCTCTATATCTGTCCCTATAGCATCCCTTTCTATCCCTTCCCTACTACTTGGGAAAGACGCAACCCCAGTTGTATGAGCCCTCCAGTTGTATGAGCCTCCAAGTCTATATTGCATCACAAAATGATGATAAATACCTTGTCCTGCCCTCCCCTTTAGCATCTACTCATCACGTTCCACGTTACCCGTGCTGTTATGCCCTTTGCCCATCCAACACACCCCACCCCACCCTCCTCACAACCCCGACTTCCTCCCACCCCACCCTACAGTAACCCCAATGCCTTTCATCAATCTGAGACAACCCCCACCCGCCTTCGGTTACTACTATACGAACTCAACCCACGTCCTCTCTCGATACAGTAATTTTCCACTTTCTTCCCAACAACTGCATAAATTCAACCCGGCCCCTCCCCCGGCCCAGGGCTCGTCCCTCCATTGTTAACTCAGTTAAGAACCTACTGCTTTGCACTGCGAGGGGAGCAGGCGTTTTGAAATCAACTCTTCTATCCCCGCCCCTGGCCCTCATTTACGTGGGGTGTTAAGCTTCGGTATACAAAGTTTTTTAACAGAAACTCATAATTTCAAACACAAAAATAAACTTTGGATTCCTGCAAGAAAATCAATAGCCTCTTCTAGTAATGTGCGTTAAACGCCCGATCATTCCAAGAGGTCTATTTGTTCTACAGTATGTGTGATATCGATGTTCGGTTTGTCTTTGGTGCCTGTTCTATGTCACATCCCGACAACTCGTCGTAGAAGGCACAATGCCAAACACTCCCGAATCATCTACAATTCAACTTGCAAATGAACTGCAAATCTTTCCTACTGAATTTCAATTACATATTAATGTCTATACAGATTGACATTAAACTGCAGCCGGCGTGGGCAGGCTCCTCGTGGTGCTGTTGCCTTCAGCAGCAGTAGTTGTCTGTGTTACATGGCTGGTGTGGTAACCGATGTCCATGCTGTAGATGTCCTCGTGGTGGTAGTGAGGCATCCTGCAGATCATGTGCAGAACTATTGTGCCAACACTCAACTAGTATCTGTAGCTCAAGTTGGTCCATTGTTGGGTTTGGTAAACTGACAGGTTAGATAAAGGTAATGCTCACTCCACTTCATATTTCTACTCTTGATAGGAGTGTGTGTCTGTCGACTGTAACGCTTCTGTTTGCTGATCAGGCAGGCCGACTGTGTGGCTAGCAGCCACGTCCTATGTAGATGTGTAAGGCGCCTTTTTCTTCTTTCTTCTCGGTAGCTCAGTGTAAGAAAATAGCACTCACGTCATCCACCTTTGACCCTTATTCCATGGCACCCACCCACACAGTGGCACACTACTACAGCGCATTGATGCAAGACCAATCCCCCCAAACCCCACCCTGCTCCGCCATCACACACACATAAATACACACTAACACACTGCCATCTCAGAACCGTACACAATTACCTACGACCCGGAAATGGTCTCATACACTGACCTTGACCCATCACAAGGTGACACGGGCAGACATGGCGTCACACCAACAGCTCTTGGCACAGCAGTATGCAGTGTAAGGAATGTTCAGATTGATGCGTGTTAGCGAGTGGCGATGTTCGGATCTGTATGTCTGCGATTTGAAGTATATGTCGTTTTTTTGTTTCTGGAAAGCGTGAATTTGTTACGTAAGGTCTACATTTAAGGAAACTGTTGACATAAAGATGTGCAAGGATCTGCATGTAGACACACTCCCATTCTGTCGAGGGAGAAGATTTACATTAAGGTCCAGGAACAAGACTATCATATTCAGTAATACACACGTATATCTACAAAGTAGACGACATAATCCAAATGGCGCCCAGAACAATGAATAACCCTGGACTGTGGCTATTTGGATTTGCGATATCATTCCAGATTTGAGTTTGATTCGTTTTTTTAATTAATCCTTAGGTTTGGAATATAGAGGCGGAGGTTAAATCCACTTGACAAATTATGTTGCTGGTATCGGTATTTGTGAATCTATTAATGATTAATCTAATGTAAATGGACAGTTGCAGAATGTGTTGCCACAAACCAATACTACATCATATTGGTTGAGCACACTGTTCGCGATATATGCCAGTATTTATAACGACCTGATTATGTACGAAGACTTGTATTTGCTTATTGGTAGATAGTGTAGGTTGTTTCAGCTTTGGGAAATTAGCAGTTTGTCCTCCGTGTGCAGAGCAGACAACCTGGGCCTCCACGGTAGTCCTCACTGCACGTATGTGTCTGGAGCAGACGAGAGAAATGGTCGCCTGGTGCGTGTAGAGTAGAATGTCTGTTGTGAGAATGAAGGACCACTCTGGTCTGTCTGTGTGGAGGGTAGAATATCTGTTATTTGAATAAACGACTGACGTGTGTTTGTTGGAAGATGCAGATACTCTGTTGTGAGAACGAAGAAGACCCGAATAATGTGTGTCTTTGTTTGGATTACACAAATCATTGCTTGAATAAGCGGAACCGACCGGTGTGTGTGTGTGTGTGTGTGTGTGTGTGTGTGTGTGTGTTCGTCTGTCTTATATGTGACTAAATGTTCCCGACTGACTTGCGGCAGTGTGTAACACAGACTGTTGTGGGGATAATCGGAACCGACTTATCTGTGTCTGTTGTGTGAATGAACTGTGTAAATGTTATTTTAGTAGACTGAGGTGTGTATGTGGTAAGACAGACTGTTGTGTTAGTGAAGAGATCCAGTAGACGTGTGTCTGTGTGAAGACAGACTGTTCTGTTAGTGAAGAGATCCAGTAGACGTGTGTCTGTGTGAAGACCCGATTGTCTTGTGCGTCAAACGCATTTAGTGAGAGAAAGACCTGACGAGTTTAGCGGATTCTTGTAGAATGATATAGTCTGTAAGTTACATAGAATGGTTAGAAATATAAGCTGTAATGCTGTATTGTATTTATGCGGCATTATAGACCATTGTGAAACTTTGAAACAATAACACCGGCACGGAAGTGTCACCGTGTTGTGTACCAGCAGCCCCTCAGCATACACGCGTGTGTGTTTAAGTGTTTGTCTGACTTCATGTTACTGAGTGAGTGTGAGAAGAGTAATCTCCCCTTGGTGAAGGCTGCCGTGTACTGTCGTGAATGTGTCACCCACCCACCCACAAACTCCCACTGTCGAAACCCTCCACACCATGACAATGACATCACCTACCCGCATCACCTACCCTTCAGATTGTTCTTTCACCACACTCCCAAAACCCGCCACCCCTGCCACGAATGGGTCAACCCAACCGCCACCTATAAAGCTGTCCGCACCCACCCTTGCTCGCCTAGACCCATGCCACTCCAACATGTCGTTGACAGTCCAGTGCTCAAATGTGTGCCATTATTACAAATTTCATTTTGCACGTTTCAATATCAATATGTAGTTAAATGCAAAAGTTCGGAACAATTCGGGAAAACTGAGCGTTTTTTTACTCAACTGTTTATGTGTCGACGTGGTGATGCTATCGTGAACATGTCTAGTCACGTGACCTCGTCTATTTCGCCAACATTGTCGTATTTGCCTGTGAAAGCCTAACAGAAAATATTCTCATTCGTGCTAGTATGAGTTATCTCCACCTTCACCCGTGCTTCTAAAGCAGGTGTTGAATATTACCTAAGTCAAGGAACATCAAATGATCCCATTTTGCTAAAAGTGTTTAATGAGGACTTTCTACTTTCTTCCCGAACCATGACATATTGTATATGTTTATTGGTGTTCGACCTATCAGTATTTATATCAGGAACTACAAGGGAGATAACCCATATGCGTACTTCTAGTACTGTAGCCTACTGCGTGTGATGAAACCTCTCGTGCTGGTATCTAGTCCCGTGCTTTATATCTAGAGGTTGTGGTCAAGCTGACCGACACATATTGCAGGTCGTGGATATCTACCACTTTTGTTCTTGATTACATTTACGTATAGTCACTTATATGATTTTCTTATTTTGTAGCACTTGTTTATTTGTATCTGTCAACAAGCGCGTTTAGATTTGTTCTACTTGTTTGTGACTGTATTGAACTGCTACTGTGTTGTACATATACAGAAGCCACGAATAAAGCTGTTTTGTCAGATACAGTTTCCCTCTTTTATTCTCATAAACTGTCGGGCAATGGAAAATATACACTTCACGTTGGCCGTTACTGTGAGTGAAAATTTGTAATCCTCCTTCCTATTAAGACGTCATGTGCGCATCACTTGTTACGAAATTCACATTGATATGATGTATGTAATATCGCATTTCAAACCCGCATCTAATACATGACCTTCAAACAATATTGTCATGCTTCATTGTTGCATTGAAACTTATGTGTATATTTTCGTTTGCCTGGCTGTTAAGTGAATGTGTTGTACAGGCCGTGTGACCAGCTGAATATGCAAGAGGCAGATTTATGAGTGTGTGATTTGAACTATATTTCATTTTTTGGCACGACATGTCAGATTAGTTTGGAAGCAAGGCGTGAAATAAGCCTTTAAGTGATGTTGTATCCATTTCTGAAAACAGGAAAGACTGGAATTGTAACGGCAAGACTAGAGGTACAATCAGAGCGGATCGGGATTCCAACCAAAGTCATCCCTATCTGACAAAGGGCAACAACTCATGCTTCCAGACATGGAGGTTGCAGGCATAAGGCAGTGAGTGAGTGAGTGATAGAGTAAGTGAATGAGTGAGTGAGTTTGTGAATTAGAATGAGTGAGTGTGCTACTGAGTATTGTGTTTGTGTCTGCCTGTATGCGTGTGTTTGACGGACTGACTCAGTGAGTCTGGTTTTATATTGTAATTCACAATTATTCACGTTTATTCGTTATTTCGTTTATTCACGGAAAGTATACGTGTTATGGATAACACAGTGTTTAGAGTGACGTTGTGTACCTACAACATTACCCACAGCTCGAGACAGCAGCCATCTCCATTGAACACGGAAGGTAACAGTGAGAGACTGAGTTGGGATTTAACGCTGTCTGAACAGTAACACGGTATACAGTGTAGCTGATACTGGGAAGTAGGTACAACCATAAACGTCTCCGGAGGTTACTTCAAGCCACTTCAGTAACAACAGTAACGAAGTGGTCACAAGGAACCACCTGTTCATTACCCAGTAACCACCTGTAACAATAACAAAAGCAACGGCCTGTAACATTAACACGTGTAATCTCAAATAGCACTATCACTACCAAGTAAACACCTGTAACAATAACACTAGCAACTGCCTATCACACTAACACGTGTAACCACAAGAAGCACTATCACTACCCAGTAACCACCTGTAACAATAACACTAGCAACTGCCTATAACACTCACACGTGTAACCACAAGTAGCACTATCACCACCCAGTAAACATCTGTAACAATAACACTAGCAACTCCCTATAACACTAACACGTGTAACCACAAGTAGCACTATCATAACCCAGTATCCATCTGTAACAATAACACTAGCAACTGCCTATAACACTAACACGTGTAACCACAAGTAGCACTATCACCACCCAGTAAACATCTGTAACAATAACACCATCAACTGCCTATCACACTAACACGTGTAACCACAAGTAGCACTATCACCAACCAGTAAACATCTGTAACAATAACACTAGCAACTGCCTATTATATTAACACGTGTAACCACAAGTAGCACTATCACCAGCCAGTAAACATCTGTAACAATAACACTAGCAACTGCATATCACACTAACACGTGTAACCACAAGTAGCACTATCACCACCCAGTAAACATCTGTAACAATAACACTAGCAACTGTCTATCACACTAACACGTGTAACCACAAGTAGCACTATCACCACCATGTAAACATCTGTAACAATAACACTAGCAACTGCCTATAACACTAACACGTGTAACCACGAGTAGCACTATCACCACCAAGTAAACATCTGTAACAATAACACTAGCAACTGCCTATCACACTAACACGTGTAACCACAAGTAGCACTATCACCACCCAGTAAACATCTGTCACAATAACAAAAGCAACTGCCTATAACATTAACACGTGTAACCACAAGTAGCACTATCACCACCCAGTAAACATCTGTAACAATAACACTAGCAACTGCCTATCACACTAACACGTGTAACCACAAGTAGCACTATCACCACCAAGTAACCATCTGTAACAATAACACTAGCAACTGCCTATAACACTAACACGTGTAACCACGAGTAGCACTATCACTACCCAGTAAACATCTGTAACAATAACACTAGCAACTGCCTATTACATTAACACGTGTAACCACAAGTAGCACTATCACCACCCAGTAAACATCTGTAACAATAACACTAGCAACTGCCTATCACACTAACACGTGTAACCACAAGTAGCACTATCACCACCCAGTAACCATCTGTAACAATAACAATAGCAACTGCCTATTACACTAACACGTGTAACCACAAGTAGCACTATCACCACCCAGTAAACATCTGTAACAATAACACTAGCAACTGCCTATCACACTAACACGTGTAACCACAAGTAGCACAATCACTACCCAGTAACCATCTGTCACAATAACAATAGCAACTACCTATTACACTAACACGTGTAACCACAAGTAGCACAATCATCACCCAGTAAACATCTGTAACAATAACACTAGCAACTGCCTATCACACTAACACGTGTAACCACAAGTAGCACTATCACTACCCAGTAACCATCTGTAACAATCACAATAGCAACTACCTATAACACTAACACGTGTAACCACAAGTAGCACTATCACTACCAAGTAAACATCTGTAACAATAACACTAGCAACTGCCTATCGCACTAACACGCGTAACCACAAGTAGCACTATCATTACCCAGTAAACATCTGTAACAATAACAATAGCAACTGCCTATAACACTAACACGTGTAACCACAAGTAGCACTATCACCACCCTGTAAACATCTGTAACAATAACACTAGCAACTGCCTATTACATTAACACGTGTAACCACAAGTAGCACTATCACCACCCAGTAAACATCTGTCACAATAACACTAGCAACTGCCTATAACACTAACACGTGTAACCACAAGTAGCACTATCACCACCATGTAAACATCTGTAACAATAACACTAGCAACTGCCTATCACACTAACACGTGTAACCACAAGTAGCACTATCACCACCCTGTAACCATCTGTAACAATAACACTAGCAACTGCCTATAACATTAACACGTGTAACCACAAGTAGCACTATCACCACCCAGTAAACATCTGTAACAATAACACTAGCAACTGCCTATCACACTAACACGTGTAACCACAAGTAGCACTATCACCACCTTTTAACCATCTGTAACAATAACACTAGCAACTGCCTATAACACTAACACGTGTAACCACGTGTAGCACTATCACCACCCAGTAACCATCTGTAACAATAACACTAGCAACTGCCTATCACACTAACACGTGTAACCACAAGTAGCACTATCACCACCCAGTAAACATCTGTAACAATAACACTAGCAACTGCCTATAACACTAACACGTGTAACCACAAGTAGCACTATCACCACCCAGTAAACATCTGTAACAATAACACTAGCAACTGCCTATTACATCAACACGTGTAACCACAAGTAGCACTATCACCACCCAGTAAACATCTGTCACAATAACACTAGCAACTGCCTATTACACTAACACGTGTAACCACAAGTAGCACTATCACCACCCAGTAACCATCTGTAACAATAACACTAGCAACTGCCTATTACACTAACACGCGTAACCACAAGTAGCACTATCATTACCCAGTAACCATCTGTAACAATAACACTAGCAACTGCCTATCACACTAACACGTGTAACCACAAGTAGCACTATCACCACCCAGTAAACATCTGTAATAATAACACTAGCAACTGCCTATAACACTAACACGTGTAACCACAAGTAGCACTATCATATCCCAGTAAACATCTGTAACAATAACACTAGCAACTGCCTATCACACTAACACGTGTAACCACAAGTAGCACTATCACCACCCAGTAACCATCTGTAACAATAACACTAGCAACTGCCTATAACACTAACACGTGTAACCACAAGTAGCACTATCACCACCCAGTAACCATCTGTAACAATAACACTAGCAACTGCCTATAACCCTAACACGTGTAACCACAAGTAGCACTATCACTACCCAGTAACCATCTGTAACAATAACCATAGCAACTGCCTATTACACTAACACGTGTAACCACGAGTAGCACTATCACCACCCAGTAACCATCTCTAACAATAACACTAGCAACTGCCTATAACACTAACACGTGTAACCACAAGTAGCACTATCACCACCCAGTAACCATCTGTAACAATAACACTAGCAACTGCCTATAACACTAACACGTGTAACCACAAGTAGCACTATCACTACCCAGTAACCATCTGTCACAATAACAATAGCAACTGCCTATTACACTAACACGTGTAACCACAAGTAGCACTATCACCACCCAGTAACCACCTGTAACAATAACAATAGCAACTGCCTGTAACACTAACACGTGTAACCACAAGTAGCACTATCACTACCCAGTAAACACCTGTAACAATAACAATAGCAACTACCTATCACACTAACACGTGTAACCACAAGTAGCACTATCACTACCCAGTAACCATCTGTAACAATAACACTAGCAACTGCCTATCACACTAACACGTGTAACCACAAGTAGCACTATCACTACCCAGTAAACATCTGTAACAATAACACTAGCAACTGCCTATAACACTAACACGTGTAACCACAAGTAGCACTATCACCACCCTTTAACCATCTGTAACAATAACACTAGCAACTGCCTATCACACTAACACGTGTAACCACAAGTAGCACTATCACCACCAAGTAACCATCTGTAACAATAACACTAGCAACTACCTATCACACTAACACGTGTAACCACAAGTAGCACTATCACCACCCAGTAACCACCTGTAACAATAACACTAGCAACTGCCTATCGCACTAACACGTGTAACCACAAGTAGCACTATCACTACCCAGTAAACATCTGTAGCAATAACAAC